GTGGCACCCATTTAGTGAAAGACTTAGATTCCGTTGGATAACGGCCCTGGTTACTGCTCTTCTTGTCTAGTGNGAAAAATACTTCAGTGATAGGGGATATTTTAAAAAACTCTAAAAACCTGGCCTCTTTGTTACGTGGCACCCATTTAGTGAAAGACTTAGATTCCGTTGGATAACGGCACTGGTTACTCTTCTTGTCTAGTGTGGAGCTTTATCCGACATTTCGGGCAGGTAACGATGTTAGTGATCTTTTTGTACTTGCTGCACGGAGCCGATGTAATACCAACACGTGTCGATATATAATTGGCTATCAACCACCCTCATTATGTACGGACAATAAAGAATGAAATATTGTAACCACGGTTATTAGAACCAGACCAAACCGATCTGTCGGACTGGTTCAACCGTGAATCGGAACCCTAATCGGTCTGGTTCCTTAGTTGAACTACTTAAAAAAGCGAACCGGCTAAAAACCAAAAAAATAGCCACTTTTTAACAAAAATCGTGAACCGCCGATTTTATAAAAATTGGACAGTTTAATGCTTATTTAAAAATTAAATTACATAAATAAATTTTTTTGCCCTAAATCAGTATATAGCTGATTTTTTTTAACCTTATTCTTAAATAAATTATAAATGACACCCTTTATTTTTCTTTATAATTTACTTGAACCTTTTTATTTTGTTTTAAAATACAATAACTCTCACTTTGTTACTTAATTTTATTAATTTTATGGTAAATTATATGTATTTTATACATATTTTATATTTTTTAGCTAAATTATTAAATTTTATAATTATTATATATTTTTTTATTTTTTTATTATATGACCGGTTCTACTAGTTGACCCAACGGTTGAACCAGTGAACTATTGACCCGGTCCCCTTGCCGGTTCTATGACCGGTCCGGTTCTAATAACATTGATTGTAACGATGATTTACCAAAAGAAAAATATAGGAAGAATTACACTCGTGCATCTGAGATTTGTCACTTAATCACTCAAATCCCCTAACATTTAAAATATTACACACAGATCTCTTGAAATTTGTCCGTGCATAACACCTACACTCCTGCCGTCAATGTCTGTTATTATATCCATTAGTAAACTACACTAAGATCCTCTAAAATTTATAAGTATGTAATACTTAGACCTTTCCAGTTTTTTTTTTTTTTGATACTTAGACTGCTCCAGTTTAAAATGTTATAGTTAGACAAAAAATACTTCAATCAAAGATGGAATATCAAATATTTTAAATTTTATGACAAAAATTCATGTTCTATTGTATCATTTATTAAAATAAAATTCAATATTTTTCTTAAAAAATGGTAATTATTATATAATTATACTATCTATTAGAATTTAATTATATACTAATTATAATTTTTAAGAAAAAAATTTAAATTTTTATTTTTGACTTTATTTCAATAAATGTCATAATCAAACTTGAATTTTGATTGTAAAATTTAAAATATGTAATATTCTATATTTAATTGGAATATTTTTGATTTAAGTGTAATATTTTAAATTGAGAAGTCAAAGTATTACACACCTATAAATTTCAAGAGGTATGAGTATAATTTAATAACGAATATACTAACAGATTAAGTGACAAATCTCAGAAAGTCTATGTAATTCTCCCCCCAAAAAAATATTATAATGATGTCACCATCAAAACAAAAATTTATTTTATTTTATGCCAACAATATTTCCACATTACCTTCCAAAAAATATATGGACAAAAATATATTGATATCAAAACCAATCTGCACATTCAGATAAATAAAAAAAGACTATCAAGTTTTTATCTACACAAAGAATAAAAAAGAAAATACACAAAAAGGTACATAAAAGAATTTTGGTTAATTTTTGTACACATATAGTGTGAAAAAGTCATAATTCCACTTAATTTGATGTATTGCCCCCTTCTATTTTTTTAAAATTTATGAATGACCTTTTTTTTGTGATTTAATAAATTCTTTCATTCATGTTTTGGTTCCCCTCAACTAGAAAACCTATCTCTGCCTATAACTTAATTAATTTCCCATAAGAGAACAATTCACGTATAACTTAATCTCCCATATTAGATTGTATGCTTAGCTTTATATTTCTTTTCTACCATCTAAGAAAAATGTTATTCCAGGATAGGTGTCCTTATTGTCAATATTGTAACAATACTAGGTGACATAGATGAATTTTTAAAGAGTTCCTTTTCTATAAAATTTTTTGACGAGTTGAAACTTGCAATTATTAAACATCAATAATGAAGGATTGTCTCATCTTTGTGAGATTTATTAAAGGTGTAATCTTAATTTGCACCTTGAAAGATCATTCGAATTTTAATTTATGTTCTCAAAATTTAAAAATATTAATTTATCCCCTAAAAGATATAAATACATATCAATGTGAATCTTGGATTAACTGTTGTCTATTTTGCCGTTAAAAAAGTTTGAATTAATTATAAATTATAACCTTCAAAGTTTAAATATTCACAATTATGATTCAAAAAGAATTTTATCCATTTATGTTTGTTAAATAACTCTCAATTGTATCGTGTCATAACATTTTTGTGTTGTATTCAAGTCGATAAAAACTTATTTTTAACACAAAAATATTTTCTTGTCGAGTCAATTGCGTTGTGTTATATATTTCACATTTACGACAATTCATATAATATTATTTAATATTTTTTTAAAATTAAAAAATACTTATTTCTTTGCCTATAATACTCATTAAATAACTATTTCATATCTACAGTTTTTTTATTTATATCTAACTTTAATTTGATTGGATAATCAAAATATTTTTGTCTAACTTTAAATAGAAAATAGCTATTTAACGTGCATTGTAGGCAAAAAATATGTATTTCATAATTTTTGTTTAAATTTTAAAATTTCTTTACTGACTAGAACACAACATGAAGATGTTATTTTACGATACAATTGAGTGTTGTTTAACAAGCATTAATTAATGGATTTGGATCATAAATATGAAATATTTAAACTTTGAGGGGTACAATTTATAATTAGCCCAAACTTTTTTAACGGTAAAATTGACGAAGTTAGCTCCAAGTGCACATTGATACGAATTTATATCTTTCAGGATATAAATTAACTAGTCATAACCCGTGTCTGAAAGGCACGTTAAAATATAAAATTCAAGCATCTAAAAAATCGATCCCATTATATTAAATTTTTTCAAAATATATTAACTGTAAATTAATTAAATATTAAATGATTAAATGTACGATAGAAATGAGTGGTGTGATATTTTTAGGGAGAAAATATATAAATGATTAAATATGTGATAAAAATGAGTGATGTGATTTGACGTTTGAGTCTGACAAAAGAATGATGAGTGAGGTAAGTGATTGATGATGGTTTTGAGGGGGAAAATATGACTGAGATAAAATTCAAATATACTCTTTTTTTATTATATAAATTTTTTAAATTTTGAAGATATAAATTGAGATTTGAGTGACCTTTGTGTAAGTTAAAATTAATCATTTATTAAATATATGTAATATTACTTGTAATTAACTGGCTGCACCAGCACCTAATCGTGCTGGTTATCTTTGACTTTATACTACCAAGAGATTAATGAGTCGAAAAAAATGAATTTATCTATATTTTTTCTTTCTTCAGTTCTATTTAATGTTTTTTGGATCATTTTCTTATTTAATTGTAATTATAATTGATTTGTACAAATTTTTTTTTGACAGTGATTGTTTGACAGTATAACAGCAAAATGACGTAGGGTTAATCTCATTTTGTACCTCGAAAGATCGTTCGAATCTCAATTTACACCTTCAAAGATTAAAAATCTCAATTTACAACCTCAAAGATAAAAAAATTGTATCAATGTACAACCCCAAAGATCAAAAATCTCAATTAGCACCCTCAAAGATATAAATTTGTATCAATGTACACCCCCAAAGATCAAAAATCTCAATTTACACCCTCAAAGATAGAAATCTGTATTAATGTGCACCTAAAACTAAATTGATAAATTATACCTAGATCCCCTCATGTTTGTCACTTAATCATTTGAACCCCTTCACATTTAGAATATTACCCCTACATCTCATGACGTTTGTACATGTGTAAACATAACCACTTTTCGTTGATATCTATTAATATAATCGTTAAAAAATATGATTTTATCCTAATAAAAAATTATAATTTTATATTACCCTTTATTTTGTGGATTCGATATACTCTAAAGTTCAAAATCAAGCTTACCATTTGAATGTCTAATAGAATGTAGATATTTATAAAAAAGAAAATATGAAAAACATTATATAAATATCTACATTTTATTAGACATTCAAATGGTAAGCTTAATTTTGAACTTTAGAGTATATTGGACCCATAAAATAAGGGTAATATGAAATTATAATTTTTTATTAGGATAAAATTATATTTTTTAACGGTTATATTAACAGATATCAATGAAAATGGGTTATATGTTGTACGTGCATAAATGTCATGAGATGTAGGAGTAATATTCTAAATGTAAAGAGGTCCAAATGATTAAGTGACAAACATGAGAGGATCTAGGTATAATTTATCAATTTAGTTTTATGTGCATAATGATACAAATTTCTATATTTGAGAGTACAAATTGAGATTTTTTATCTTTAGGGTGCACATTGATATAAATTTCTATCTTTGAGGGTGTACATTGATACAAATTTCTATTTTTGAAGGTGCAAATTGAGATTTTTGATCTTTGAGGGTGCACATTGATACAAATTTCTATCTTTGAGGGTACAAATTAAAATTTTTGCTCTTTGAGGGTACAAATTAAGATTCGAACTATCTTTCGGGGTGTAAAATGAGATTAACCCAACAATGTATCACTATTAAATGACCAAAATACCCTGTATTCTTCTTCTCATAGGAAGACACCAAATTTGGCCTCGTCGATTAGATAAACCAGATCGGTTGGTAAAAAGTGGTATTCATTTCTTTTGCTTCTAAACAGACCCCTCAGCTGCCTAGGAACTTCCTTCTATTCAACTTTCTTGAAATATTTCCCTTTACATTTTTTGAGTTAAATCTCGATAGAATGTTTTCTTCTTTTGCTGAACAACTTTAAGGACTTCAAAGTTTACTAGCAAAAGGCTGCTGAGATCAGAAAGTTCCATTTTATTTTTTTGATAGATATAGCAAATTATATTACTTTAAGAAAACAGAGGTTTTTGTTAAAAGATTTCGGAAAAACCCAGAAACCCATGTTCAGAGATTTCAAAGTTCTTCCAGGAATGTGAACGAGACTCAAGATCCCCATTTCATTGAGCGTTGACTTGATTATTTGGTTGTAACCCAGTTCAGGAAACAATTGATTCTGAACTGGGTTTTTTTTTGTAGCTTGAATCATTTCTTGATTCTGAACTGAGTTTTTGATAGTATCTTGAATAATTTCTCATAGAAGTAAGTGATGGTGGAGGACGAGCCCCTTCCTACTCACAATGGGGCAGACCAAGAAAATGAACCCAAGGGAATGGTCTTTCATTGTTTCTGGGCTCCATTCTACTGGTTTAAAATGCTTGCAATGGAAATGCATTGGACCTTTGTTTTCGGGGTGGTGATTGTTTATGGAATAAGCCAGGGACTTGGTGGAGCCCTTTCTCGGGTTGGCACAGAGTATTACATGAAGGATGTCCAGAAGGTTCAGCCTTCTGAAGCACAGGTCTATTCTGGGATAATTAACATTCCTTGGATTGTGAAGCCAATTTGGGGGCTTCTCACAGATGTTGTTCCGATTTCTGGATATCGTCGGAGGCCCTATTTCGTTTTTGCAGGTAAAATGTGATTAGCATTCTGTGATATACTTTTCAACCTGTTTTGCACGTAGTCCTTGAGATTGTTACTTTTTTGATTGGCAATTTTGAATTAATGTTTTATCTTATAAATGATAGCTACTGTGGAAGTAATCATCCATGACTCTTGAAACTAATTGACAATTTGCATTACAGTGTCCTTGTTTCCCTTTGTTGTACAACTTTTGTTCTTTGACTTGTTTATTTGTTTTGCACTGAGAAATGTTTTGGGAATTTTTGTATGTTTTCATCATCAGTTTAGCCTTTCAGAAATGTTTGGCAAGATCAGTCATTAACGAGATTCTATGATGAACAAACAAATCTGAATGCAGTAAGATATTTTACACATACGGGTTTTGCTTTTGTTTCCTCAATGAAAATGTGAGGAACCTCATTCATAGGATGGCCACACACAACCATGCACATGTACACCAGACATTTTATAGATTTATTGTCTTAACAACAGAAGAGGCAGAACACCAATGTACACAGTTAAATATCAAAGAACAGAAATAAATTCAAAATTACCAACTATAGGCACTTAACATCTACATATGTGCATAACCTATCCCATAACCAATTAACACAGTAAAATGTCCCAAAGACACCAATGACTTGTATCAATGAAAGATCCACGATCACATGTTCTTTATGTTTCTGAGAACAACTATTCTAGAGATTAGTGTAGAGCTTTGTTTCTATAACTAGATTTTGTTTTCTTGGTAATGTTGCTCAGAGTGTGGGTCTGCTGATTTAAGGCCTTTTGGATTTTGCAGTCATGAAATTCTACCTTGGGGCAATTGTCTTTGTGTCTATCTAGTAAAATCATAGTTTTCATACATTGAGTCTATGTTCTCCGCATCATAGTATCCTTGCAAATTGATGGAACAGAGAGGGCTCATAATGATAGGACTATACTACATCTACTTTTTGTACTATGTCGTACAGGTTTCTATGGAGTTGTTATGTTCAGTTATGTTCCTTATGGATTTGTTCAACTTTCTGGTGCACGGAGGCATAGCATTCATTCATGTATTTGGAGTAACCCATGAATCTTTTGTACGAATTATAATACAATGCATACATAGACCAAGTGAACGTTTTTTACTACATGGATATTTTAAGCACAGATTTTTTGCTTGCTGAGTAGCTGAAGCAAATGAAAAGGCTGGTAATTAAAAAGTGTCATACAAAGTACTTGGAGCTTTGAAATTGATGCATGTTTAATAATGACCGTGCATTCACTTTAAAGTGCTCTTGTAACATAGCATCTGCGTGTATAGTGATTTAGTAAGTACTCTGATACATATTCCTTCTTTGAAGTGATTGATCTTATTGTTATAAGCACATGTGTAAGCTGCAATTAATATGAGCAAAGAAGTCTTCCCCTTTAACAGTTCAAATTGTAGGAACTTCGCCTTCAAGGGATCACACAAATACCAATAGATGTACAAATTACACATGTTTTATATAATTCAGGCAGTTCATGGCATGCAAATTAAAATTGGGCCGAATTAGAAATTTATCACAAAAGGATTTGCACATTTGGTGGTAAACCACTTACTTATTTGAAACTGCATGTAAATTTTAGGTTTTAAGATGCTGTTTATATTTGCCTAAAGTCTTCTAAGTTTCAGGATTTACGGGCATTTTGGTAATTCCCTAGTTTATTTGAGAATGCCAGCAGTTATGATTTATGCAACTTAACTTCGGTAGTTTTAGATTTACACTTAACTATTTAGCAAAGATTCAATTTTATGCAAAACGTGTAATCTCTTTATTGCACTTCACATTCTCCAATTCCTATTATCTGTGCTGTATATATATGCCTGCAAACCTTGTAACCCACTTCTTTCAGCTCTTAAAACATCTGCTTCATAACCCATGTTTTTCCCTTCGAAAGAGATTCGATCCTAGAAGCTTAAAGCCTCACAAATGGCATAGTCACTTTCTGTGGCTTGCAGGCACAACATTTCCCAAACATTGCCTTCCCTTGCCTCATTCAACCCCATGATTCTTCACTTTACATATTATCCATCCCTAGAAGTCTATGCTTTTGACACTCTTTCTTGCTACAAAACAGATTGTAATCAGCCAACAAGGCTTTTTTCTAGTTTTGTCCTACATTCAATAGGGATCACAGTTTGTAGGAAAGTCCTACCGACATTTGTCAGATTGTATGGGTAGCATATATCCAAATTTCATTTGCAGAGATGCATCTAGTCTACATAGAATGTAGAATAATTCTTGTGCAAAAAAATAACCAAATGATTTATTTCTTGCTACTCCCTCCGTTCCTAAATATCTGTCGTTCAAGGTTTTTGTACAGGGATTAAGAAAGCTATTAAATAGTTGTAATATGAGTAAAAAATAATTACACAAGACTAAAATACCCTTAATCAATACATATTGGGAAGGAAAGGAATATGAAAGACACTTAGCCTCCACCTAATCTAATGCATTGAAAAGTTAAGAATAAATTTGGAAGAAAAAATATTAATTATGCTTTGGTTTCATTAAACGACAAATATTATGGAACAAAAAAAATTATGTAAGACGACAGATATTTAGGAACGGAGGGAGTATATTTCAAGATTTGATCTAGAAGAGCGCTGGTGTACATAGTTAAGAAATATGTTAAGAATATTCTTCTTTTGTGATGGAAATCTCAAAATATTTATATTTAATCTTGCTACTAAAAAACATAGCTTTTTGAGCCCTTGCACGCAGTTATTTGTGATCACAAAACACACTGTTAAAAGTAATTTATTCTCTACCTTTGTAACACCCATGACCCGAAGGTTTAATAAATAAGACGATTTGTGTTTACTCGGTGATTGTGAAATAGTCATGGGTGAAGCATTGGTTCAAAATCGTGCGAACATGCGCTATGGGTAAAACCAATTGATAAAATCATCAGATCGAATTTTGTTTTTCCTTAATTTTAAGAAATTATTGTACTTTATAATCTAGCATTTTTATTTGTAAAAAAAAATAGAAAAATCGGATTAGGGTTTTACCCTTACCAATTTGGCTAGTGGGGGAAGATGACACCTCACTAGAAGAGGTGTCTTCTTCTTGGCCATCCTTATCCATGCAAGGGGAGAGATGGCAGCTAGGTAAAGGAGGTTAGGGTTGAAGAGTCCTGGTCAGTTGGCTGAGGCAAAAGGTGAGAAACGGAGAAAGTAGAGGAAATAAGTAAATCCATTTGCAAAACCATTTGAGGCTAAGACTTCTGGTAGTTGATAAAGTTTACAGTTCAAATTTCAGACCTTGTCATGGTTGGAGTAGAGAGTTTAACGTTAAACCCTAGGTTGAGTTTCAAACTTGATTTTTGTGAGTCTTTGAAAACCTTCGGTTAAGGTTAAAGGGAGACCATGTCTGATGCTTTTGGGGGGTGAGGAATTTATTTTTGGGCTTTATTGAGCTAAAAAGGTCGTTTGGTTAGTGAAAAACCAAGTTGCTGGTCTGTTCAACTAAAAACACAACTTTTAGCTTAACTTTGAGCTTAATTTGGTAAAAATATGGAAAGGGTTTGCACAAACCACCACTTAGATTTGAAAGAGGGTTAAAATAGGAGTAATTTGGCTTTTGAATCACTTTGTTTGGATAAGAAATGAGAGAATTATGCTAGAAGTATAAATAATTAGGGGAGGTCAAGTTGGGAATGAAAGGATGAGGAGTTGTTGGGAAGTAACTCCCGATGGCGCGTGAGAACTCTTATGGGGCTATTGTTGGTGTCTTTGGAATCCTCTCTTCAAGAGCTTTCCAATGATAGGTGGCTCATCAAAGTTCGACTTCGTTTGCCTATTCAACCGAAACTGATTATTTTACCCTTTATCAGTACCAGTCTGATCCACCGATGCAATTTTTGACCCAACCAAGTTTTTTTATATGGTTTAATAGGTTTTAGGGACTGACATTTGATCGCCTTTAAAAAGTTTGACTGTTTGATTTTTGGCAACTGTACGAGAACCAGTTTACGTGAGATGTAGGTTACTCCGGTTCTGTTCTGAGCATGATTTTCTTACTCTTTTACATATGAAACTTATTTTAGCAATTATTTTGATAAATTATCTTGAATTATATGATTGGGTAGAATACTGTTATGAATTTCGGACTTGATGATTTATTTGCTGAATTTTGAATTGATGAGTCGTTAAGCTATTGTGGTGAACTTGATTTCTTGGATCCAGTTTATGAAAGGTATTGTGCATACAGGGTTGAGTGGCAAAGGGCTTATCACATAGTTTAAGGTTGCAGTATCGATCATCGACTTGAAGGGCTCTGAGACACATCGGCTGATGCATCGTACCGCGGTATCAGACGATGCAACATAAAAGAAAAGGTTGAATATAACGAGAAATTGAGGTCATATCACGGCGTCGCGAAACCATATCGACTAATTTGGTGACGATAACTCGGCTATTCAGGATTGACTCAGAAATGACTCGATTATAATGAGTCGTGCGAGACTCGTAGTTTATACGTAACATGTAACGTTATCTACTTGGAAGGTGTCTCGGCCAACACCTATCGGTATAAGCCGATACTTTGAACCATGGCTTATGGGTAATGAGTCCATAGAGGGGTTTACGGGTCTATTCATCGGTTTTGGTGGCCTGGTGGCTTTCGAGCTTGGGTACCGTTTGAAATAGGAAGCGAATCTTCCTTGGAGTGAAAGTCCCATAAAAGGTTTATTTGATTGAGACATTGATATGTTTGCGGACCCGATGTGGTCATTAGGAATTTGTTCCCTGGTGTAGCACAACTATGATTTGATATTTGTTACGTGAATGTACCAGTTACTGATTTATAATTGTTCCGATTCTAAAATCATTTTGATGTATTTGTGTATATGCTCTAGTGTTCATTAAAATCCCAATCATTGAAATGCTATGCTATTTTTAAACCTTGTTTGTTCAAAATTGTATTAACTTACTGAGCTGGTTGCCGCTCATCCTATGTTATCAATCTCTTTTTCAATAGTCGAGAAGCAACATGTTAGCATGAAGTGGGAATGAGGACATGGAATATTTGTATGTTATTTGAACATGTTTATATTTGGTTTTGTACACTTTTGGGAGTGATGTACCATCTATACTCTATAACTCTGATGTACGTTTGACACAGTTGCATGTCCTCACACACTCGCACTTTGAGTTTGAGTTGGAATAGTACAGTTTTTGAGTTAAAGTTACTGGATAACATCCTAGGGTGATCCGAGACGTTACAAGATTTCGGTATCAGAACTTGTTACGTGTTTTTTTAAAGGTGCGAGTAATGTGTAACTTTGAAAATTGAATGAGCCTACCGACTTTATGTAAGCTCTGAACGTTGGAAATTTAATTGAAATGTCGCGGGTTAGTACTGGTGCTTACTTTTCTTGTTCGGAGTTGTATCAATTATTTTGTGGTGAGGCTATTCGCGCTCTGATTTGCATGATGAGGTGAGTTGGGGCGTGACAACCTTATTCTTTTTTAACACTACATCAGTCGATGTGCTTGGAGCTTGTTGGAGTTATAACCTAGATTATTAGGGTTTTCCTTTCTACCTTTGTTTTACCTTTTAATCCGTATTGTATCTTTATTATTTTATTATATATACGGGGGCTCTACACTTAGTTTGTATCCCTTTTCACTCACGTTTATTTCAAATTGGTATCAGAGCCATACCCTAATACTAACCCTAATCCTAACCTACTCCCTCATCCACACCGACAATAAGCAACCCTCATCACCAATCACCACTAATAACCACCTCACCAGCGAACCTACTCCACCGAGAACACACAGACCAGCGACCTCAATCCCACTGCCT